AGTTCCTTATTTAGTTCAAGTTGCTCCCTCCCCCTCACTGTGCCTGCCTTATAGCTGGTGCATGTTACAGTCAATTTGATTTTTGTTTTCTGGGTCAAATATCTTGTTGTTTCATGCATGTGGGCTAGTCTCTGAAACCCTCAGGCAACAAGTCTTAGTTCAAAAGCTCATGGGTTTAACTTTCTCCCACTGAGCAACATGAAATGAAAACTGGAGGCAGGGGAAGGAAGGAAGGAAGTGACATAGATCAGGTCTGGCCTGGGAAGAGGAGAGGACAAAAGCTGGTGCGATGCAGCCATTAGCATGTTGAACTGTAACTTGGAAGTCCTGGGTTCAGACTCTTCCACCAAGCTCACCTGGGGCTAACCCTCTATGGATTTGTTTAATCACCTTTATTCCAAGGACTGTGGGACAATGTACATGGTTCTCCACTCCTCTATTTTATCCTCAGAACACCCCTGTGAGGTAGGGTTGCCAGGTCCTCCCTGGCCACCGGTGGGGACGTGGGGTGGGGGTGGACTACCAGCTCCAAGTTGGGAAACTCCTGGAGATTTGGAGGGTGGAGTCTGGGGAGGACAGGGATCTCAGTGGGGTACAATGCCACAGAGCCCACTCTCCAAACCATCCATATTCTCCAGGGGAACGGAGCTCTGTAGTCTGGAAATGAGCTGTAATTCCAGGGGGTCCCCAGGTCCTACCTGGAGGCTGGCACCCCTACTGTGAGGTTGGGCTGAGAGCGTGTGAGTGGTCCAAGGTTACCCAGTGAGAGGAGGAAGGGCAGGATAAAAATGTGACTGAATGTTACAAATGTGTTTGTTGTTAAAAACAGATTCTTATTATGAAAGTGTTAAACTGATAAGGAAGGAAACAGAAGTAAAAAAATAAATGCCAGAGAGGTTAGACTGCTGCCATAGGGAGGCTTGTGTTCAAATCCTTCATAAAGATGAAACTTTCCATCAGTCATCTCACAGGGTTGTTGAGATGATAACAAAAAACAACTCTGTACACCACACGCAGCAAAAAGAGTGGGACACAGATGAATTATTCTGAAAACTAGATCCTGATGGGGATCAAGGTCATAGAAGAGTTAATAGCTGACTGGCTTTAGACTTCATGTTTCTCTGGCCTGATTTTTCTAGGTGGGTTTCAAGAAAGAGCTAAAAAAAGAAAGGCTGCCAGAATAGTATTCCCTCTGCATTGTTGTTTGAATACAGCAATAACTGTGTTTTTTCTTCGGCACAAAACACACTTCTCAAATTAAGCCCTTGAGATGGTCACAAAATAAGCAGCAGCATCTCACTGGGTTTGGAAATGTATACTTCAGTGCAGATCACGTAAGGCATTTGGATCAGCGAGAAGAGGTTTTATAACTGTATTATGTAATCCTGTTTTCAGAGCTGGCGACACAGCAGCCCAGGACTCAGAGAGAGGGCAGCATTGTCTTTCCCATGGATTTCAAGGCAGCTGTTCTGTTTTTCTGTCTTTGCATGAGGATGCATTTTGTTTTGCTGCATTGAAGGTTTTAATCTCTGGGTTATAATCTGTGTTTTTGTTAAATTTAGGAATACTGAATGGCTGATGTCTGGAAGCTAGAGTCCTAAGTGGGAATGACATTCCAGTTTGAGGGCAGGGGATCCAGAACTGGTGGGTGAGCTGGGGACCGTAGCAGGGCCAACTATTAAGCCTCTGTAGAGCCCCAAACCATTTGATCTGCAAATCTGCAAAGGAGAGACTGTAGTTTGCATCTATTCTCCTTAACCTATCTGCCCTACCTGGAGAACTGCAAGACAAAAAAATTAGGGCTTGCTAACCTGTAAACTCGTCCCTCTAGCTGTCCTCTCGATAGCAGTTTGATCTGCAAGCAATGATCAGGACAAGCTAGAGTGTGTCCAGAAGAGGGCAATGAAGATGGTGAGTAGTCGGGAGACCAAATCCTATCAGGAAAAGTTGAAGAAGAGGAGATGACTGAAGAGGAGATGACTGAGAGTATTTGAAGGGCTGTCATATAGAGGATGGAGAAGAGTTGTTTTCTGTTGCCCCAGAAGGTCAGACCAGAACCAATGGATTTAAACGAAATCAAGAGTTTTTGTTATAGGAAAAACTTCCTGACAGGGCAGTTCCTCAGTGGAACAGGCTTCCTCAGGAGGGGGTGGGCTCTCCTTCTTTGGAGGTTTTTAAGCAGAGGCTAGATGGCCATCTGACAGCCATGCAGATTCTGTGAATTTAGGTGGATCAGAGGAGGGAAGGAGGGAGGGATGAGCCAGTGCTTGGCTCTTGTGGCTCCTTCTTACATGCCCAGTGTAAAGTGGATTGCCACTCTGAGGTCAGGTAGGAATTTTGCTCCAGGACAAATTGGCCCACGGATTGAGGAAGGTGTGTGTGTGCCTTCCTCTGATCAAAGAGCAAGGGTCACTGAAGGAATGGGGGCAGAGGTAACTGAATTTCCTGTGTTGTGCAGGGCGTTGAACTAGATGATCCTTGAGATCCCTTCCAGCTCGATGTTTCTATGTGATTTAACTTCATAGATGCCCTGAAAAGCTTCAACTGCCCCCACTTCAACGGCGTGGAGATCTCCCAGAATTAAAACTGATTTCCAGACTATAGAGATTACTTGCCCTGGAAAAATGGCTGCTTTGGAGGGTGGACGCTGTGGCATTATACACTGCCAAGGTCCCTCCACACCCCAAGCTCCACCCTTTCAAGGCTCCAGGCCCCAAATATTCAGGAATGTTCCAAGCCTGAGTTGTCAGCCTTGACCACACACTGAGCCTCTGTTAAAAGGACAGAACTCCCCTCCCCATCCAATTGGCAATGCTGGAATTGGCACTTGGTTTGGGGCACCCTTCAACCGACTCCATGTTGACCCATGCAGCTACCCAAGTTCACCATCTAATGGTGTGGCCAAGCTTCACAAAAGGGTAACTGCCAATTACTATCAACAAAGTACATGCCCAAATGCCACACCTGGCCCCATGCAGTCAGCAACCCAGAGTGGTTCCCACTGCTACCCTTTGGCCAGAAACCATTTCCTTAATTCCCCCGCTTGGCTCAAAGCACCATAAACCACACATTTGCAGGCTACTGTGGATCCTAGTGTGCTGTAATGGTTAGTGATTTGGACTGGGGTCTGCCCAACAGTCACCCTTCAGCCATGAATCTCACTGCGTGACCTTGGGTCAGGCAGCATAACCTACCTCACTCCCCTGTTTCAATGCTTAATAGTACAGCTCAACAAGCAGCTTGGAGATTGCTTAGATCGAAGGCGTCCAACTGGGACAGAGCCAGCACAGCTTCACATGCTGGGCACGTATGCTCCCCTCTTGCTTTAGGGATCCCTCCATTGCTGAATCCACATATTTAAGCTATTTTACTACTCCTTCTCATAGGTTTGCTTTCACTCTTGCAAGACTAAATACCTTCCCATCTGTGGAACTGACGGGACGATTTGAACAAATTTCCTATTCAGATAGGCTTTGCGCCCGTGCATCCAGAGCAACCGAGACCCTGGCACACCTTTTATTATTTTGTTCTCAGTGGTCGGCTTGTAGGTCTCATAGGTATTTTATTTAAAATTGAAATCATGGGTGATCTCTTATTTATTGACAGACACTGACCCTGAAATTACTGTTTCAGTTGTGAAATATCTGGCAATTATCATCCCATTGAAACGTAAATAACTGTGTTGCATTGGAGAAGTCTCATCTCGTTACCTGGATTTAGAACGGTTAAACTTTCGACCCAGATCTCTTAGATTGTAATGCTGAACTTTTAACTTGTTTCTTTTTAGTCACTTATTTTACTTTCTAAACCTAACTTCTTATAACTCATTTTATAACTTGTAAAATCGTAGACATGTTAATGTAGTATTACTTGATGGATATATATCTGTAATTTATTTTTTAAAATGCTTGAGACCTCTGAAATAAATTGATTGACTTACCTCACAGGGCAGTTGTGAGAACAAAATGGAGGAAAACCATGTCGACCAGCTTAAATTCCCTGGAATAAGGGTAGGGTAGAAAGGCCTTTAAAGGAGTTTTGAAGGTCACTGGAGTTAATCTAAACTTATGCAGCACCAGTGTCATAGATGCAAGTCACAGATATCCCAGCAGCTTGATGATGACAAATAAATTTTTGTCAGTAACTACCCCTATGTCCTACCATTTGAAGCCCACCCACTGTGGAATTTGAAAACTGGTTCAGGATTTTACAAATTGGTCAGTCATAAACAAAGTCGTACAGTCAAGTTCCCAAGACACACAAGTTGGGGGTGCTGTTGACACCTGACATACGCCACAAAAGTTGAATGGGCCTTATTCCCAAGTACAAGCGCACAGGACCACGGCTGTGGAAAAAGAATCCAGCTGAATGAAGCTTCATTTACTTCAGATCCTTGGCTAAGGTTCTATTGCCCTCTGCTGGCAGACAGAAAACAAGAGTCCACCCTGTGAATGGGTTTTGCACTGAAAGAATTGTCTTAATTCTGTATTGAAATTTAAGAAAGGGAAGATGTATCGGTTTCAGGAATTGTCAGAACTGTTGTCATATTAAAAAGACTCATTAAGTTCCGTTTCTGTTTTTATTAAGATTGGATTGGATGTCTGCCCATTGTTTTTCATATATGGAAAACAGCAAATTTTCCTGAGTGGACGTTTTTTTCACCAAATGGTATCAAAATATCAGGGAATCTCATCAACCCTCTTTTCTATGGACTTGCCAGTTTTCAAGCGAATTGGACAAAGGGTCTGTGTCTGATTTCATAGCACCTTTTATAAGGTGCCCCCAACCCCAACCATCCTCTATGCATAGTAACAAAAGGCGTGAAAATGGCCGCTGGTCTTCTGGAGCAGTGTTGTTGTTATTGTTGTTGCCAAACTTAGTAACTGTGAGCAAAAGCAGTCCTTCCAGAGTGCCTGACTAATGATACGCCCACCTGCCCCCACCAGTCATGCTGTGGAGAAATAGGAGGTTTTTTTTAAATTGAAGCAAGCTGTGTTGCATTACAATGGGTTGGTTGGGAGCAGAAGATGGAGCGTGCAGTCTCTTTGCAGAGTAACCTAAGAAAAAGAAAGGGAGTTTACCTCTCCAAGTCTGAGAAATGAAATTTGTTACCCAAAGTCACTAATTAATCTACGAAATGGTAGAAAAAGAAAAACAAGAAACGAACACCTCAGATACCCACGAAAGGAAAGGCTCAGGATCAAAACACACTAAATATTAAACAGCACAAAACCCAAAACAACAAGATTGCCCCTCAGTGATCAAGAATGTTTGTATACTCTTTTCTCTACCTTAATGAGTCTCAGACACCTTACAACCACCTTCCCTTCTTCCCACAACAGGCACCTTGTGAGGCAGGTGAGGCTGAGAGCCGAGAGAGCAGTGACTGGCCCAGGGGCACCCAGCAGGCCTCACATGGAGGAGGAGTGGGGAATAGGGTTGCCAGCTCTGGGTTGGGAAACACCTGGAGATTTGGGGGGGTGGAGCCTAGAGCGATGGGGTTTGGGAAGGGGAGGGATTTCAGTGGGATATAAGAATGCCATAGAATCCACCTTCCAAAGTGGTCGTTTTCTCCAGGTAAACTAATCTCTGTGGCCTGGAGATCAGCTGTCAGTCTGGGAGATCTCCAGCCACCACCTGGAGGTTGGCAACCCCAGTGGGGAATCACACCCAGCTCTCCAGATTAGAGTCCACTGCTCCCTACAGACCATGCTGGCTCTCCCTCTGGGGAAAATGATGGAAGAAAAGCCAGCTGACAGTAATAACAAATTAATCAGGCTAGTCTGGTTGGCCACTGTGTGAGAAAGGGTGCTCTTCTTATGTTCTTATGTCTGCCAAGAAGTGCCATCCAAGAAGCATCCATCCATCCTGGTTCTAGTGTAATCCAAGCAAGGTGTCTCTCCCCAAGATGTAAGGAACAGTAAGCACTGCACGCACACAGCACACATGCAGTGCAAAATGACCCACTGGACAGCTGTACTCTAAAATTTTCCTCCCCTCCAAAAAAGACTGTGTGTTTGGCCATTCCTTCCATGATGCTGATTCCTGGGCTAAGACTGGCTGACAGAAATGCTACTTGCGAAGGCTTTGGGATGGGTGGGTGACGGTACTCACCAGTATTGAGTACCAGCACCTTTGTTTGAGCCTCTCCCAAGTCCTGAGGGGGTAACTGGAGGAAATCAGTGCAACCTAATATATGACTCCTGGCATATATAAGGTTGCACTCCTCTTTTTATTTACAAAAAAGCACTGCTATTTCCAGGGCGTAGAGAGAAACATTAAAATTGGGGGGGAAGGCTGGCTCTGTGAGATTCCCAATAATTAATTTGTGATGTTAAGATTTGTTTGGAGAAGACTGACATGGATATAGCTGACCCAATCCAATTTTTAGGGTCAGCAACATCTGACTGCACATCCCTAACTATGAATTCCCCATGAAAGAAGCCGCTTGGTGTCTTTTGCTGGGAAGAAAACCCTATTACAGTATTTAATATGTATTAATATGATGATGTAACAAAGGCCATCCTTAAAGGCATTCAATAAAAAACACGGATGCACTTGCTTCCCATCGCCTTAGACACCCCAGAATTCCTTTATGACAATACCATTTAATAGTAAACAAAATACGGAAACAAAGTACAAAAAGGGGGGTTACTGAAATGTGAGGATTACAAAAACGTATATACATACCATATGTTTAGAAGGTAGAGACAAACATATGTAAAAAAAAAAAGGAATGCATGATTTTCGGTGTCCTTTGTAGAGCTGGAGGGGATTAAGAGTTAGGGCAGCAATCCAGATTAAGTGAGGCCAATGGATGGCTTGTACAGCATCAGTGGGAGTGATTTCCAAGTTAGAATGGTGCTGCCACTTCCTTGGATTGGTGGCCAAAAGGCCATTAAGAACAGGAGACAGCCAGAGCAATTGTGTGTGTGGGGGGGGAGGTGTTCAAGTAAGAAGAGCTGATTGGGGAAGTTTTCTAATTTTTCAGAGATTGAGCCAGCCTGACTCTGCTGTCAGGTTTAGAGGATATCCAAAGGGAGACAAATCAGAGAAAAGCTTACAGCATCCAGTCAGCACATGGAGGACTCCTTTCCATGGCAGGTGAACTCCAGGACCTTTGGTACTGGGACATGTCTGTATAGCTCTCTGTTCCCAACAAAGTCCACTGGGACTGGGTTACAGGTAACAGTGGATTTTATACCTCTTCTCAGATATCCTCCAAACCTGACAGCAGAGTCCAGCTGGCCCAGCATTTTCCATGTAGGAAACAGAACCATCACCATCCACTGCTTTGGATGGCGGCGAAGGCAGAAGATACAGTAAACACTGGCACAGCTGCAGCACTTGCCCAAGGCTGGGGTGCACAGCTAGCACATCCTGTAAAACCTCTGGGATTTATAACTGGCCCTGACATTTCTGCTGTGTAGCCCACAAAACCAGTGTTGTTGAATGTGGTGGACTGTAGATTGCATTATCCAAGCATCAACACTCTTCCAGCTGACTGGGCCAGGTGTTCTTTTTAAATGATGAGTTACGAAGATGAGCAATACACAGAAGGAACTCATGATGATTCGAGGGAGGAAGTGCACAGCTCATGCATGCACATCATTTAAAAGGGTGCCACCATCCAATCCTCTGCACAGGTATGATCACACCTGTACAGCTGGACAGGGGTATTAAAAAAAGGAAAAGAATCCCATTGTGCATTTGACTGCCCAGCCATTTTGGGGTTCTAAATTAGCAAAAGTAACAAAAAGGGGTGGCGAGCGAAGATACTACAGCTTGTTGCTGTAGCGACTCCTTCCCCTTTTTATACAATAAGCTCCTTGGACTGACTTAAAGCCTGGAAGCTCCTGGATGTGCTGGCACACTGCCTCCCATAGCACTACCATCTCCTGTACAACAGGAGAGAAAGGCGTATTTGGCCATAAGCATCTGACTTAGGATGGAATGGCAGCTACCTGCACTGGCATTGTCTTTGCTGTTGCTCTCAATGTCAAAGAAGAACCATCACCAACTAACCAGTCTAATTTTTAGCCACCAGAGAGACCCAGGTTTTGCAGCAACACAAAGGGAAATTCAGAAATCCCCCTGCAGATCTCTCAAGCCATTCCTTCCATGATGTAGAAATACTGTCTTGGATGCAGGTTAAGCTTCTTTTTGCAGGGAACAGAGAAGGTCCTTCTCACAGTCTTTGACAACCCCAAATATTCATAGAAAGCAAAAGCAACGTTTCCTGGAGCATTTAATGTCTTACAGTGAAAAGTACTCAGTGTATTAATACTAATGGCTGCCATGGCTTAAATGCTTGGCTGAGATTCCATCTTCAAGTTAAAAGGTGCCTTCCCTGACTTTCTCACCCTTTCTTTTCAAACCACTAAAAATGCTCACAGTGGACACATCATTAAACACTATTAATACAGCTACTGGCAGTGGGGAGCACACCTCTGGAATGGCTTTGCTACTGAACCATCTGGGGCATTTCGCTCCACGCTTTGGCCTTTTTCTTTGCCAGAGACAGCCAGGGTGGTT